TCCTTGATTTCTCTCATAAAATTATGGGTAATGTGTCGGATACAACAAACATGCACTAATGGGGGATTATGCCAACCATTTTCCGGATTGTTGTATGCACTTTCAATTTATGCATGCGGTCTGAAATCAAACATAGGTCTGGTTGTGGCGCAACATGCCTCCTTAAGTTTCGCAGAAAAACCCCCCAACCTTCAGCCGTTTCACCTTCCACAAGGGCAAAAGTAACTGGGAAAATATTGTTGTTGCCATCTTGTGCCACCGTCATAAGCAGTCTGCCCTTGTACTTACCGTATAACCAGGTTCCATCAATTTGAAGTATAGGTTTGCAATATGCAAAACCTCTGATGCATGGTTGGAATGCCCAAAATAGCCGGTGGAAGATGTGTTTCCCTTTAACAATTTTTCTGTCATTTGTATAATTGGTAGTGTTTCTATTTCAGCACAGTGCCCAAAATAAATTTTTTAAGTGCTAACAGAAAATGTGGAAGTTCATTATATCAGTTCTCCTAATTACCATATACCTATTCAATTGCTTTGTTCCTTGGAATCCATGTTTTTCTGTAAGACTGAGTAAAATTGTATTCAGAAACAATTTTACTTATGCAAACACTAACTTTAATAAAAGGATCCTTGTCTACAAATGGCATTAATACTAGAGAAATTAGCTGAGAGTTTAGTTTTTGATGATTCTGGTTAAACATAGTTGCTGGACAATTATATGGGGGTTCATAATGCCTATCTCCCACAAGTCACTTCTTTTTCGGTAGGACGCCAATAGATGAAACTTACAGGAATCATTTTTGCAACAAATTATGTATCTCTTCTTGTCGGAATCCGTCACCTTATAATTCATGCAGTGTTTCATGTGATATTTCTTAATGGCAAGCATACAGTCGGCTTTATTTTTAAATTGGTTACCGACTTCTATGTCACTTTCCATTATTCTGTGGCCATTCAAATGATGTTCCTTCTACATTTAGGGGTGGGTTTGTCATATGGGCAGGTGGGTAGAATACATTCCCAATTGGAATGTGTTGATCATCTTTGTTAACTTCGTTAACACTGTTTCATTACTCAAACAAAGTAGTATATAAATCATCAACATGTGCCTCATTTTCTTCTTTGACGTCTTCTTCTTCAACATCTTCGTGTGGAATTATGGTTGGCGTTTCTTCTGTAGATGCATTGATCACCTGAGAAATTTGAGTTTCTTGACATTTTTCAAATGTTATATATAAATCAATGTACGGAAACCCAGAACATTCATGATTCGAGAACATCGTTTCAACATCCTCGTCGTCACGAACCTTTAATGGAACAAATTTAAATTGATTGTTCCCAAAATGGACAGTATTTATGTACGTAAACTATGTAATCGATCCTACTTGGACTTTCATCTCTACTCTATCTTTAAAATGTTGGAATTAACACTAAAATGACTAATGTCAGTATATCCAAAGATCAAACTCACTTCATCAGATACAATAACACTCTGTTGTAATGGGCATTAACAATATATTTAGGAATGATAAACATTATATAAGAATATGTGATAGAAATGATTGGTGTTTGTGTAGAATATGTAAGAAAAAATGATATGAAAATGTTTGAAGATGATGAAAAAATTATGAGAACTAGTACTAGTTATAAAGGAAATGATATCAATTTTGGCATTTTCCTAACCCTCATGCATGAATTTCGTACGTGGCTTCTGGTCAACATTAATTGAACATTATCGCCCTTTCAATGGGTGGAAGAGACAAAAGTTAAAAGCAGCCGCCCATTCAATGCCCAACATGCCTGAAAAGCTGTTACACAGAATAACTATGCCGCCCATTCAGTCGCCGGTTGTCAGACACATGTATTCATTGTCGTCCATTCAAAGCCCGGACGTCAGACATGCATAAAGCTACCACCCATTCAAAGGTCGATAGTCATTAGCAATAAATTCTTGACATGCATGCAAGAAACACGTACCAGCATCTACCATATCATCTTCAATTCTTCACATTAACTTCTTACCTACATTTTTTTCACATTAATCATCTTCATCTCCTATAAATACCCTATCATTTCTATTTTATAATTCATCTCAATACAAAAAATATCTACCAATCTTATAAAATTCTCTACTACCACTCTTACAAAATGGTTTTGTTAACACTAGGAGAAGATCATCAAGCACAGCAAACATTGCATCATATGCAAGTTTACCTTATTTATAATGTTTATAATGTTACTTGTTAAAATGTTATAATGTTATTTATAATGTTAAAATGTTATAGTTATTTATAATGTTAAAATGATATAAAATGTTATAATGTTATTTATAATGTTAAAATGCTATAATGTTATTTAAAATGTTTATAAGTTTATAAACCTTATTTACCTTATTTATAATTATATTTATAATGTTATATAATTATATTTATAATCTTATAATGTTATTTATAATATTTATAATTATGTTTATAATATAATTATATTTATAATGTTATATATTTTATTTATAATGTTACTTGTTAAAATGTTTAAAATGTTATATACCTTATTTATAATATTTATAATTATATTTAAAATGTTATATACCTTATTATAATGTTACTGTTTCGTATAGATTTAACGTCAACGGCCAGCTAACAGACATCCTGGAAGCGAAAAGGGGGCTTAGACAAGGCGATCCGATATCACCTATGATGTTTGTTATTGTTATGGAATGTTTGAACAGGTACTTATACAATATGCAGGAGGATCGTGACTTCAATTTTCACCCTAAATGTGATAAATTGAAAATCACAAACCTATGCTTTGTGGACGACTTACTTATGTTTTCCAGAGGAGATAAGGTGTCAGTTGAAATGATGATGAATACTTATGGTAAGTTTTCGAAGGCCACCAATCTCGTAGTAAATCCGCATAAGTGTCGAATTTACTGTGCTGGCATGGATGAACTGACTAAACAGAATATTATCAAAGCATCGGGGTCCTAAGAGGGTCGTTTGCCTTTTAAGTATCTGGGGATGCCGGTAACAGGTAAAAAACTCTCTGTTCGCTATTATGCACCGTTAATTGACAAAATCGTGGGCAAGATAAAGCATTGGACTGCGCGGTTATTGACATACGCAGGGAGACTTCAACTCATTAATTGCATTATGTTTGTGATGACTAATTATTGGCTCACTTGTTTTCCTTTCCCCAAAACTGTACTTCAAAGAATAGAATCGATTTGTCGCATTTTCCTCTGGACAGGAGGGTTTGAAGGGAGCCGTAAAGCACCAGTAGCATGGAAACAGATTTGTAGCCCTCGTAGCCATGGCGGTTTAAACGTCGTTGACCTTGAAGTTTGGAATAAAACAACTATAATGAAGCTGCTTTGGAATTTAAGAGGAAAGGAAGATTCGCTTATGCAAAATTACATGATTGTGGTCAGCCGGTGGAGTGGAGGAATTTGGTGTACGGTAACAACGCAAGACCGCGAGCTAATTTTGTGTCTTGCTTGTCATGGGAGATTAGCAACGAAAGATAGATTGCATAAGTACGGTATGATTGATTATACTAAGTGTTGTTTCTGCGAGAAAAATGAATCTTTAAACCATCTATTTTTTGAATGTGATCGCTTAAAGAGCGTTTGGACTGAGATCCTAAGATGGGCTCAAATTAACCATACCCCTGGAAATTGGCATAGCGAGCTGAAATGGCTTATTCAACATACCAAAGGTAAAGGAGTCTGAGCTGCAGTCATAAAAATGGCGATTTCTTAAACCATCTATGAGATATGGCAGGCTCGGAATAGTAGCATTTTTGGAGAAAAGTCGGAGATCACTACTATAGGAAGAAAAGTCATAGATAGTTTGGTGTATAGAGGGTGAAACACTAACAAACTTAGGAAGTATATAGCTATTTTAATGATAGAGGGGGTTAGATTGATTGTTAGCTGCTTTTTCCCTTTTGGTCCTAGGTTGTCTTGTTTGTAGCTGGATCCAATGGGATCGCTTGTATCTATCGTCTTTTTTTGAGTAATATAGTTTTACTTTACTTTCAAATGTTACTTTTTAAAATGTTATATACCTTCTTATTATAATGTTACTTTTTAAAATGTTTAAAATGTAATATATCTTATTTATAATTATGTTTATAATTGTATTTATAATTATGTTTATAATTGTACTTATAATTATGTTTATAATGTCTATAAATATTTAGAATTGTATTTAATTATAATCATGTTTATAATGTTATATATCTTTTTTGTAGGATGAAAAAAATTTCAAACCACGCTCACATAAGTACATAGAGCCTGATGAAATTATCAAACCATATTTGATTCAAGCGGGTTACGGTCACGTCATCAACATAACTTCATTTGGAATTGATCAAAAATTTCTTTTCGCCTTGTGCGAAAGATGGAGACCAGAAACTCACACATTTCACTTTCCCACAGGTGAATGCACGGTCACCTTGGAGGATATCCATATGTTGTTAGGTATGCATGTGGATGGATTAGCGATTGTTGGTGACACAAACATGAAGTACGATTTAGTGGAAGAACTATTGGGGGTGTCGTTGGAATGAGGTGATAAGAAGGGGCATAGCCTTAAAATTACATGGCTAAAAAAATTTATGGTGCTTTGATATTGAACAAGGAGTCTCCTAAGGAACTGAAAATTTATAAAACTAGAATCTATATTTTATTGATTTTTGCATGCTTTTTATTTTCTGATACTAATGGTAATACTATCCATCTTCAATTTTTACCATTATTAGAATATTAAAGTCAAATAAGTATATATAGTTAGGGCGCTGCTACCTCTGATACTAATGGTAATACTATCCATCTTCAATTTTTACCATTATTAGAATATTAAAGTCAAATAAGTATATATAGTTAGGGCGCTGCTACCTTAGCGCATCTATACATAAATTTGTGTAGTTGCGCAAGAAAAAATGTGCATAATTTTACTGGTTATGACGTTTTGATTCAAGCTTGGGGATGATCCAAAATGCCTAGACTGGCGCCAATAAACCTCAATCCATACCACTTTCCATATGCGACCAAGTAAGTATACAAAGTTTATTTCTATATACTTTTCATCTATAATTTTTACTAACTATTTATTTCATAGGTGGTCCGCATATGGGATGAATTACGATAAAACCCCTCATCATTGTGCTCCTGGATATCGGATGTTCTTCGATCATTTCGAAGAAGATATTGTATTTTCTCTAACACTTATATTACTATCATTAACATTTATTTATTTTTTTAACTCTAATCATTTTTTAATTACATTATAGTTTATATGGAGGCCCTATCTTAAACTTGAAGATGAGGATCCAACTGAAAGTGACATGTGGAGTTCTACAACATTCATATTTTGTTTCACTTTTGTTGAAATACATCATTCGGATAGGGTGAAACTCCAATTCGGGATTCAATAAGACATTCCTAGTCCACCTACGAGCAATAGAAATTCGATAACTGAAGAGACCATAACAGACAAGAACGTCAACACTGGATAAATCGTCGTCAAATTGTCCTACAAGGAAATGTCATGGAAACCGAATGTAAACCCAGTAAGGAATACATGAATTGGTATAGATTTGTGACCATTTTTATTTATCACAACATAGATACTTATGGGACCCTCGTAACCAACCAACTTCTTCAAACTTCCAAAACACAAGACAACCTTGTAACACCCAACAACAAACATTTAACACCCAACAACCTTTCAACCCAACACAACAACCTTATACCCCAAGCTAACACTACCATCAACTTTACCTATCATTTAAACCAACCATCTTCAACACCTAACAACAAAACCCAACCTCTTCATACACTCAATATAACCAATACTCATTCTCTCAACCTACCCCACAAGAAACAGCTACCAAACACCCCAACCACAAGTGCCTTTTTATCCCTCACAAACCTTCACCCTTAATTCATCTCAAGACCAACATCCATACACCCTCTACATGACTAACACAATACCACCTTCGAACCTACCAAGTTGGAGTAATGAGGGAACAAGATTAAGTTATGGTAGTGCGGTGGCGATACCAAGTATGGACGATTTGAGTGATTATATGGTCATTGAATCCATGAACCCTAGCAATCATGCAGAAGATCCACCAAAAATGTACAGGCTCCTGCCTGTGGAACCCACCAACGCTTACATTGACCATTTCAAAATTAAGGGTAGACAGGAATTTAATGTACTTTTTTAATTTCACGAATAAATAAATATTTATCTCAATTCATTTTTTTATTATTTTTTTTATTACTATTTTTTTATTATATATAGTATTATTAATTATTATTACTATTATCCATCTCATAATTATTATTTATAATTTTATTATTATTATTATTATTATTATTATTATTTTTCATAATTATCATTTATGATTCATAATTATTATTCATAATTTTTATTTATTATTCAGAATTATTATTTATAACAATTAAATTTTAATTTTAATTAAAATGTTTTTTTTATAAATAAAAATAATTAATTAAAACTTAATTGAACAAATAAATATAATAAAAAAAACAAAAAAAATTATGTGTACACTGCCGTCTATTGAAAGGGCGGCACCTTTCTGAATTCCACTCTTCCGCCCATTGAAAAGGCGACAGCGTTGCACCAAAAAACGAGTTTTTTTTAAGTATGACAATCTGATATATTTTTTTTGAGACTTATGGTACTATAGAAATTTCTTTCCAATACTATGGTATGATAGGAAAAAATTCACATTTTACGTCTAGATCTTAAAGTAAGTTGTCAATTGATTTATCCAAATATTTTTGTTCAAATTTAAAAAAAGAAAATTATTATAAATATTCAATAAATTAATGTAATATGAAATTCAATTTTGATGGTTATTAAAATAATTAAATTTTTAAATATTTGTGTAGTGTTTATATATATATATATATATATATATATATATATATATATATATATATATATATATATATATATATATATATATATATATATATATATATATATATATATATATATTTGTATAGCTAATTAGGAAAATAATATTTATTTAAAAATTTAATAAATTTTGTTTTTTCTTAATATAAAAATTATATGAAACGGGGCAAATCAAGTTATTGATCAAAATATTGAATGATAATGAGAACAATTTTACTATTGATTTAATTTTTTTTATAAATAATGTCAAAACAAAAATAATATTTATATACGCGAAAAAATACATTGTTAATTCAAATATTTGTATATACAAAAAAATATTATTGTTATAAATGGGTATAACTTTATTTTTTTTTCAAATATTTTTATATACGGGAATTTTACTATTGATTTAATTTTTTTTTATAAATAATGTCAACAAAATTAATATTTATATACAGGAATAAGTACATTGTTGATTAAAATGTTTTTATATAGAGGAGAAAATACTATTGTTATAAATGGAGTCAACTTTACTACCGATCCAAATCTTGAATAATAGAAGTTTATGTACGGAAAAAAATACATGTTTAATTATTAATATAGATGGGAAAAATATTATTGTTATAAATGAGATCAACTTTAATTGTTTCAAATATTAAAAAATATAAATTTATCGATAGTTTTTCAAATATATGAAAAAATACTATTATTTTAAACGAAAACAATTTTATTACATTTTAGAAACAAATAGACATACTAACTATAGAAAACAAATTTTAATCAAATCATTACTTACCTATATTTTAAAACACGAAAATAAAACAATTATAACGAAGATATGAAATTATTAAACAAAATATTGAATAATAATAAGAAAAAATTTACTATTAACTGTAATATTTTTATAAATAATATCAAAACAAAAATAATATAGTGTTAATTAAAATATTTTTATATATGAAATAAATTATATACACTAATTTATTATACTTTTTAAAAATAATAATTTTTTTAATTAAATAATTTAATAATTTTAATATTATTTATATTATATATTAAAAAAAGTACGGGTATCTGACTTGTTACGTTTAAAAGCTTACATGACAAATGTTTTTGACCTTCCAACATTGCTTCATCCTTATTATCTTTCTCGTCAAGACACATAAATTCCTACACTTAAATTATTAATCCTCTTTTTTTGCATGCACTGCTCATATATATGATTATCATTCATCTTTATACTAGAACATAAATCAATTAATAGAAATGGCTTATAATTGAACTAAGTACTCATCAATTAATTGCCAAAATTGATATTTTAATATTACAACACTTTAAATTTATTTTAAGCTCAATTCTATCTTGTCCCTCGTGAATTTAATGTTTCAATTTTTGGGCAGTTTTGACCATTAAATTTCCATTGAAATTTTGTATTTCTCCCGCCTCAATTTTACCTAGTATTACGCATAACGCATAAATAAATGACCTGCTGCTAACTCTTATTTGCACGTTACTTTTGTTTTAGATTCAAATTTAAAGAGTTTGCAAAAGATTTCGTCTATCTTCCTAATTTTGCATGTCTATATCCCGTGACTAAAGGATATCCCGCACCAAAAAAACCCTTATTATACCATCCTGTTGTTCTAGTTGCTGTAGAACATATTCAATAGCAGCTCCCATGGTTCAAAATCATGGATGTGGAAACTTAGCAAAGAAAAAAAATGGATGAATATTTGTGCCTTCACTATTAGTATTATTATTATCATCATTTTATGTTAAATTAAAAAAAAAATGTAACATGAAAATAATGGTTTGCTTAACTTTTTAAGCACATCCGCCTAAAATTGAGAGAAATTGGGACAAAGTACTACTAGTTTGCAAATGAAAAAAAAAACAAGGGCCCCAAAATGGAAATAAAACCACACATACAATTGTGATATTTGAATGCGAAAAATGGAAATAAGTCTTTATTTTTTCACAACTCATTACAATGTTCCCAATCATGCTAGAAATCAACCAACGGTTTTCACATAAATTAATGTAAGATTTATAAGCCAAAATTTTCACATAGTTAAATATTTTTACATGATTAAGAAGCCAACAGATGGAAAAGTACAACATGCTCTCGAAGTATACTGGGCCTCGTGCAGGACCAGAAACTTAAAATTTCAGTAGCTCTCCCTGCTACCTTGTACTATGATGCAACTCCATTGACCCTGCTCTTCAACATCCCTCGGGAAAAAAGGGTGATCAAATAAAAAATTCAACCCTAAGAGATTAAATTATACACATTTTTAAAAGGAATACAAATCAGTTTAGAGGGAGAACTTGTGCAAGAAAAATATATCTTTCGGACTTGTTCCCAAAATTTGATATAACCTGCACTAAAACTCAGAGTGATCCTTGCTGGGAAGTGGGAACTTTACTGTCAGATAGTGAGATCTTTAAATGTGTCAAGTTTGCCGTTTGATGCAACATGTTCCACGTGATCGCCCAGTGAATGGCTAGAAGTGCCATTTACGGCAGTCTTGCATATTTGACTGAGAGCAGAGTTGGGTGTGGCAGAGCTTTGACTACCCTCAAAGTATGTGGAGTATGGGAAAAACTCGGCACAGCGCACTTTCCATCCTGCAAGCAAATTTACCATTTTTAAATTTATAAAACATGGAATATGATAATGTACCTGGAGGTTTTTTCCCTTCCAAATGGTAAGGCAGAAGCTTTCCATACATGAATTATTATTGAAGTGGGAGATTCTTGTGATACATTACATAGTTAACATACAGACATGACAGGACAGGTACAAGTATATAAACAAATCTAATTTTGGTAAAATTAACGATAATAATGCTTGTAGCAAATATTTCCTTGAATATATATATATATATATATATATATATATATATATATATATATATATATATATATATATATATATATATATATATATATATATATATATATATATATATATATATATATATATATATATATATATATATATATATATATATATATATATATATATATATATATATATATATATATATATATATATATATATATATATATATATATATATATATATATATATATATATATATATATATATATATATATATATATATATATATATATATATATATATATATATATATATATATATATATATATATATATATATATATATATATATATATATATATATATATATATATATATATATATATATATATATATATATATATAGTATATATATATATATATATATATATATATATATATATATATATATATATATATATATATATATATATATATATATATATATATATATATATATATATATATATATATATATATATATATATATATATATATATATATATATATATATATATATATATATATATATATATATATATATATATATATATATATATATATATATATATATATATATATATATATATATATATATATATATATATATATATATATATATATATATATATATATATATATATATATATATATATATATATATATATATATATATATATATATATATATATATATATATATATATATATATATATATATATATATATATATAGTTCTCCCTACAGCAATTACTGATTTGTTAATCTTAAAATGTAATGAAGACCCTTAAATGTTAAAGGAACATAAATATGTCCCAATAATACTTACTCAATGCAGCATCCTGATCCTCAAGAACTGATCCAAGAAGTTTATGAACTGCAATACAGTCTTTAAGTCTCCATTCTGGGATTGGTCCAAGTGCGCCATTTCTATAAAAGTAAAATATTGCATGCTTAGTATTACCATTAGACATATTAGAAAGCTAAACTTGAGTCCAGACCAGAAAAGTTATAAAGGAGAGAAAAATCTATAACAAGTAGACACACAATCACAAACACACACATCAAAACCCCGGAATTCTAGAATAAGTTTTTTTACAATTAAGACTATAGAATAAACTATGTTCAACATATTTGAATATTTGTTTCATTTAATTTAAACCATTTTTCAATTACTCAACATAGATATTTCTCACTAGTTTGTAGTTTATTTTGATCTAGTATTTATTACCCATTTTCCTGCGGACTCTTGTTTTATTCCTTTAATGGTTTAACAGTAGAGAACCTTTCAAATAAAAATAGAAACTGGACAATAGATTACTATCTAGCAATGAAGAGTGGAAAACTAACTCTTCACATTTGTCTTCATCTCCAAAACACTGAATTATCTCACCTACAGTCATTCTCTAAAACTATCTGGCATATATTTTGGATCTATGCAAGTGAAACTATTCCGTCATGTTTCACTCATTGATGAGAGACTCGTGTGAAAAGGAAGGCTCAGTACCACATCTAGTCAGCAAAACTAACTCTTCACATTTTTCTTAATCTCTGGAACACTGAATTATCTCACCTACAGTCATTCTGTAAAAATATCTGGCATATATTTTTCATCTATATGAGAATGAAACTATTCTGGTATGTTTCACTCGTTGTTGGGAGACTCATGTGAAAAGGAAGGCTCAGTACCACATCAGTCAGCAAAACGAAATTAGAAAGCTGATCCATAGCCAAACCATGATATATGAAACCTTACTGGTCCAAAATATTTTGCATCACATGCCAGTGTCATATAAGTTTGAAGACAGACAGGCAGAATATACCAAGTAGATGCTTTCACAGCATGATGAAGCAAAAGATGTTGCAAGAACTTTACCTTGACACAAGGTTATTTGTTGACCCTTCAATCAACTTGACAGCCTCAGATCTTCTATTGGGATCTAAAATGTACACCATTTCACCAACAGCAGCTCTATGCATCAAAGAACCTGCAAACAAGATGGGAAAAACACAACAAGCCTTCAAAATCAAAATCAAAACATGAATCACAGATTCACAGACAAACATTCATGGCATATCGAGTATAAACCTTCATGTTTTTCAAGGAAAAGATTATTTGCCTCAAGCAAAGATTTTCCATGCAGCTGACTGCTTACAATGAATAAAGGAGAAAGTTAGAATTGTTGAAGTTATGGCTGGTATTAAATCATGAATTAATCTAAAAGAGCTGTAAATATGATTGATCACACTTAAAGACAATACAAGAGAAATGTAAACAGTAGCAGTACAGAACCTTATAGTTTGGCGCTCAGCTTCTAAAACACTCCAAACGAGTTTCTCACCATCAGTCACGGGAGTATTCATGGAACCCACTTTATGGAAGAATTTAATCTGTAACGCATAGACTTAGAAATAAATGACAACAAAAAGATAATCCATTTCCTTGGTGGAGAAAAGAACAAAATCACAATAGAGGATCATAAGAGAGAACAATTTATTCAAAAAATAGGACAAAAAAGGGGAGGAAGAAGAGGACTGTTCCAAATTCAAAGAATATGATTTTTGTAGTACCCCATTTGTCACATTCTTAAAATATACAATTTAAAAAGATGATCTGCAGTGGCAGGATATTAGACAGCAGATATTATGTAATATCTTGATGCTGGTAAAACATAAACAACCTAAACTTTCTAACCCCGGTAACATAAATTCAATTGTTCTTCAGAAGAAAACATACCAAGCAACGATGAGAATCAGGGTGTTCAGCATCCAACCTCAGTAATTGCTTTACAGCCTACAAATAGAAAGATAAAGAATGATACCTGAGTGACCGGCATACATTCTAAACTGGCAAAGTGTAATATGAAATAACAACACAGAACACCCTTGAACTCTAAGCTTTAATGTCTAGGAAAGCAACCTTAATAAATTACTATAAGCCAGAAATAAGATGCTGGACCAAAATCTAGGCACCTTGTTTTAACAGATTAATACCTGGAAGGCTAGCAAAATCTTCTGTTTTCTCATGTATAATTCAAAGGAGAGCAAGTGTGTCTCCAAAGAATCAGGTGAATTCTTCTGCAGCAATTTCAAGTATTTTGTGGCTTCCAACAATGGATCTTCAACCTATGCAGGACAAATTGCACAAGAAACGGGATAATATCAGTCTTAATAATTATGACAACAAGTTTTCATCAGACAAATTTACAGGAAATGGTCCACAAGATGATTTTTTTTTCACAACGCATTTCCTTGACAAGGTTAGTATTTGATAAACCAAATACTTTAATCAACTATATTGATGTTAGGTCTTAACAGTTTAGTTATGACATATTGCACAGTAATGATGAAACTTTTAAAGCTGGTAGCAGGATTCCAAAACCAAGTACAAGCAATTTTTCTCAGAATAGTTATCCGAATCAAATGTTGTTTGAGGATCCATCCAGCTTTGGAATAAGAGACTTGTTAGATATTATATTATATATAATAGTCAATTATGGATCTTCACCTAATATGTGGGGATTTTGGGAAAGAGCTTAACAAGGTATCAGAGATGCTATGAGCAAGTCCTAATCATTATTGTCTTCATTCCTAATTGAAAAAAAGGTCAACTTAAAGTAGTGCGTGCATGAGCATTGTCCATAATCTGCTTAAAAGGTCCAAGAGCTTTTGCATAAGGGACATGTTATGTGAGAAAGAAAAAAAAACTCTGATTTACTAGTTGCGAAATTTTGGGAGAATTGGTTCTTAACAGGTCTTACTTATCTTCCAGGTGAATTTACAGAGGAAAGTCTGCTGATGTATAATTGTGAAATTTAAAACAGGTCTCCATGTTGGATATGGAATGCAAATATAAGAACGTTAATGGCAATATATGTACTGAAATTTAACCTGCAACAACTTTTCACCACGAGGATCAGGATCTACAGGTTTTGTATGACGTTTCCCCGACTTTGATATCCCACTAGCACTTGAGTCTTCATTTTTCTCTTCTGCTTCCTATAAAAGAAATAAATCAGTACCACGAATACTTCCGCAGCAAGAAGTTCAATAAAAGGTACATAAATTATTAATACTTTTTTTGCTCTTGCTTCTGCCTTTCTCTGTTTTTGCCTCAGTTTCTTTTTCTGAGCAGGAAGCAACTTAGACATTTCACTATCCTCCTCATCAGTTGACTTTGGAGGAGAGTCGTGCAATTTTATATAACATCTGCAGCAGAAAGCGTTATATCCACAAGATCAGAAAGAAAGTGCATTCGTTTATAGAAAATTAAAACTGAACTGTTGTGGAAGTCCCAAAAGGAGATTGTTTTAAGCCACAAAAGTTATGAGCACACACCAAATGTTATGCAAAAATAAGAAAACTCTTGACTTTATGAGAACCAAGCCAAAGAAACTGTTAAAAAATAGAAATATAATATAATATATTCCTGTGTATTCACTTGATAACTTCAACTTTTGAATAATTAGTTCATGAATTAATATCAAAGCCTCTATATAATCAAGTGGTCTAGGTTTTATCCCAGTAATCTCCACCCTTCAAGTAAGAAGTTGAATTTCTACACATGGTAAGTAAACTAAAGCATTGTCCACAATTCAAATTTGAAGGGCTTCTGCTTGAGAAGACATGTTAAAAATGAGATAAAGACATTTGTGTTTTCAATTAAATAGTTTTAAGCTTTTGAGACAATTGGTTCATGACCGAAACAATTGGGGGGAAACTTGCTGTTTAGGTTCCAGATGCAATTTGCAACCCAAGTGTAGCAATAAAATGAATGCACATAACCCACAGAGCACTGCATAACACTAACTAGCATATAAAACAACTCATACAGTAAACCAATCAAATTAAATACAACAAACATTCACCTGATAGCTCCAGCAGCCGCTTTACGAAAATATGCATGTGAATGCAATCTGTCTTGAAATTGAAGCATTTCCACATACGTACGCAATGTCATTTTCCTTAAGCAGTATGAATGAAAATCAAATTGGTCTTCAGTAATATCTGCATAATGCTTCTCCACTGCTAAGAATTTTTTGAGAGACAGTCCAAGATCCCCTTGGCGGAAGTAGCTTTCAGCAGAGGCAAGCTCGTACCTTCCAAAGATAGATGATGCAATCAGAGTTACACATAATGAAACCCTAACATTGCGAAGACAGTACAGAATGCTATACATCATTAAAGACATACCACATGCACTGCATGTCATGGAGGTTGTTGTGTTGATCCCCATCTTTTGTGAATAGCACGGCAGTTTTTTCTGCCAAAACCATCTGGATATCAAGGGTATTATAGACAAAAAAAAGTCAGAAAAAGCAACCCGTACAAAACTGAATGAAGCTAGAATGAAATTCAAAGAAATAGATGAAAAAACCTGATCAGCCTGCAGCATGCGCTTCACACAATCACTATTAACATAACGATCGCCGAGATCCATACACCTAGCTTCATCTGCCAATGCAGCAGCAGCAGCCAAATCACCAGCATGCTTCAGTATCCGACTCTGTATTCAAAAACATGCATCGATTATACAACAGTTATTCAGTATGCTTTACTGTCAGAGCAAATTATTATCATTACTAAAGCCAACTGCATCAACTCATTTACACTCTTTGATATGAACACAACTCTTATGTAATCATTCAACCTGCTACCCTTTTCTTGGTCATAAAAATACAACTAAGTAGTCTTCAATAAACCTGTTCAACTTTATTCAACCTAAAAACCACTGTTTAAGCTTAAAAAAGCTCGGACTCTTGAGGCGCATTCATTGCATGGCATCAGAGTAGTTTCTATGATACAATAAATATCATATATTTAACAAAAACAGAAAATCAAATAGTTTTCTAATGTAAAGTTCATTTTCAATACTTGCAAATTAATTTGTTGGATCAGACATGGTAGTTTTTATCATATTTTTGTTTGATATTTATAGGAAAATGCTAACTTATCTCAAAGGTTTAGCCCAAAGAAAAGAAAAGAAATGCATATCAAAATGCAATATTTCACAGTAACTGTATTTCCTAGTGTAGCAAGTCTCTATAAATTACTTCTGCTATTTACACTTGCCAAAGATAATTTGGAAAACCATACAGAAAAGTGTTATTTAATTAAAATATTTTGTTGACTGGAATATAAAGATATACATACATATACATACAGACAATTATAGCAAGAGAATATGTAGGAATGAAATATTTCTGAAACAATTAGAAAGCTAATTATAAATAAACCTTTGCAGAGTATAGATCAATGACAGTAGGTGTATGTTCTATAGCCTCATTAATTTTAGAAAGTGCGATTTCATATTGACCCCGCCTGTCATAATGCTGCACCAATAAAATTTTACAGAATAAGAAAAACTAAAAAGCAAATGGAGGAATCCAAACAAAATGTATTTAAAAAAATCCCCAAAAATAGTATAAAAAAACCTGAGCCAACAAGAACAAAGTCCACATAAAAGTTGATGGTGGCTCTTTTTCCACTCTGTATACAAGATAGTTGATGATTAGTGATCCAGCACAAGATAAAAGCGCAGCAGCATTTAAATTTCATTGTCAACGATAGGTCTTGGCTATAGTATTGCAACCGGATAGTATTGTTCATGGGCTCTTTTTCCACCGTGTAGACTTATAGCAACTTTTTATTTTCAGCCAATTTGACTATTTCTCCCCTTAGATTTGCATTATTTATTTCTTTTCTGAAAAAAATTCTTCTTTCAACAAAAACTATAAGGCTAAGAGCTGTTGTTTCATTTAAGAGAGTGGCTGAGATTTTTCAGAAAGAGCATATCTTGGTAACGAAGTACAAGTTATATTTGTGGCATGTAAAACCACTTTTTCGCTAACCAAACAAGCATAACTCAGATGGTCATTGACAAAAATAGCTACTTCTGCAACTTAGTTAGTCCAACCCATGACCATGGCTACATAAATTTCCATAATTCATACATAAATTTTCTCATCCTGGGGAAGGCTAATAGAGACAGAGATTCAAGCCAAACTCAACGGGTACCCACAAATATTTATCCAAAATATATCGGGTTTTACCTATTAAATGGGTCAGGGACCTGCACTGAGGAATTACCCCACAAATTTATGGATGAGTGCAGGTATGAGTACTAACTAACTCAACTCATATCCACACAATAAAATTGTTATATCTTATAATTAGAATTTGAAATATATTCAAATATTCTTTAAAATAAGTTAGATGCTGCACTTATGAATGTTCTCTTTTTTTTCACTGATGTTCAATAGCTTAGTAAAGTAATATTTCTGATTTGTAGTAGTCAGCATGCCAACCTAAGGGAATTTAAGTAAAAAAACATAATATCATTAATGCAAGTAAAACTCGGCTAATCCTTCCTAAGTAAAGCACTAAAGATTATGCATAAAATTGAAATTAAAATTTGTGAGGGAATAATGAATTCAGAAAGAGATGCCTCACATGATATATTAACATAAGCACTAATTTTGATTTTGTGAAAAACAGAAAAAAAAAGTATTCAGCTTTCCCTTGAACCACATGAACCCCATAATCATAACTCTTATGCTGCACACAGTTGTTGAATGACTAACTGTGTATATCTTACCTCCCAGGGTATTGTCCAGTCAGCCTAATAGAATTCTCTAACTCAAGAATAAGTTGTTCCAAAATGTCTGCCTGGAGAAAAATCAGAATCCACAAAATCAGAAACAGTATTTTCTACCAACAAAATATACAATACAATAATAAGACAAGCCAAAATATTTATAGACAAACTTAAGTAATAAAATTAACCTTCCCAGGGTGACTGTATAATGAAGAAAGATCCGAGAATAAAGATGGAACTCCCTAGAAATGGAACAAAATCACATTTTAATTTTGAAGCTAGGTAACTAGGCAGAACATTATACCAAATAGGCTGTGTGTATACCTTAGTTAGAAGAGGTCTAATATAACTATCTGCTGCTTCTCGAAACCTATCACCTTGAAGAAAATCTAGTGGTATTCTCTGACAAAAATAATAATATCAGATTTGTTCGTTCAAAAAAAATAGGCAAGGCACTGAATTACTAAAGTGATGATTGTTATGCATGATGATGAAGGCAGACTATTTATTAAACTAAAAGTATATGTAATGCAATAAAAGTATTGACTGCACTACCTTAACAGCAGATGACCACTTAAATTGCTGCCCAAGTGTTTTGTACAAGGCATCTAACCGATCTATTTCATCAGGAGAAAAATGGCCATTTGCTGAATATAATCCTACACATTGTTGAAGGCCTTCATAATATCTGAGCATCAACATGAAGCACAAATAATTACTTGTCTTTCTATGAATCAGTAAGAAAACAGACGAGAAAAAGTACAGACTAACAGGAAAGGAATTATTATACAATTATTTTGCATCCTATCTTTAAAATGATCAAAACACCCTATAACCCAAAACACTTCAGAGATGTTTAAAGCAGCTGAATAGTAAAATGAAACGTGAAACTTTTGTCTCATGCTTTGCTTCCACAAATCAGCATTATCAAAGACAACCATATACAGGTACAACATAAAAAGTTAATGCATCTGAGATAAAGTTATCCTATCATGTGTTTGGCTAATGCAAAAAGGAAACAATGATAGTGGTAGAACATGAAGAAATACTTCTAGACATGAAAACCTAAAAACAGTAGCCAGAAAGTTCACCTATAATTGTCCGGATTCATGGAAAGCAGTGTCTGGTACAATTTCTCGGCTTCTTCTAAGCGACCAAGCTTGACTAACAGTGAAACCTCTTGTTCTTTATATCCAAGCTTATCAATCTGAAAAGATATAATCCGGAAAAAAAGTAATGAAATCATGCCTTTAAAGAATAACAAGCTCACTCTCAAATTATATCAGTAAATAAAACCCGTACAATTTTTGACTCCTTCTTCTGCAATTCCTCAAAAGCTCTCTCAAAAAATCCACATTCCTCTAACAATGAGACCTGGACAAAGATGATTTATACAGAAAATCACCATATGAGGGCAATATTTAATACTCATATTAGAATAATGTGAAAAACTTCATATTCATAATCCCTAAACATGCACGAGAAACAGCAGAATGATAACATTAAAACAAAGTATAACTTGACTAGAGTCAGCTGAGAAAGGTTCGTTTTATAGTGACCATGATGCATAAGGCCATCATGGGCATTTACTAAAGCTCACAAATGGTAAAAAAAAAAAGGCAATTAAAAATCCTGTAATGTTATAACAAGATTGGCAAAAGTTACATTGAACAACAAAAAAATGAATATAGGCATTATGCAATCAACAAGAAAAAATTGTTAAATAGACAGCGGAAGTACCTTATATAAAAGCATTTCGCCATGCTCAATCCGTTCATTTTCTGGAGGATAATCATCTTCTAATGTCCCTTCATATGCTTCCAGAATTTCAATAGCCTTTGATGCACTGTTTCACATTTGAAGTTCAGTACAACACAACTAAAATAAAATTTTCAAAAATTTCCATTTCAACAGCACCATCGATGATACCAACGCCAGGGTACTGGCATGATAGATTGAAAAAAATGCATTTACACCTTTCTATGCACCATTTCTGCATATAAAAAATGGAATGAAAAAGCCGAAAAAAGGCATTAGAAAATAGTTCTTCACCTTAATTTGACCACTCTAGTATTCAGTTGTTATCTGAACATAACGATAAAATCTTTGAATTTTTATTTTAATATATAAAGTTCACTAAAAATTTTTGAAAGAAAGTATCTACCAGAAATTATATAAGATTTGTATTATTTGAATCATGGATCATAGGGTATAACAATTTAAATGTTTCAAATTACTATTGTTCATATTACGGTCACAAATTACTAAAGTATAACAATGTGCAAGTTAAATATATATGTTCTATATAAATCTGACTAACATGAAATTTTTGCAAATGTTCTGTTCTGATATATTAGAGGGCTTAAACAATATTTCAGAAAATGTGTCCCCTAACCTAACTGTCATTAACCCTATGAACATGAAAAATAACAAAAGAAAGCTCTTTTATTGATCATTATCTCAATAAAACTCGCATATAATAACATGTTTGCAACAGGTAGAATATGAGACTGGTGTCTGATAGAGTTTGTACCTAAAATATTGTTATACTTAATGATCCATCATTAAAATAAAATAAATATTTAATAACTTAAAGTAGATAATTCCTCATAACTTTTTAGCAAACTTTCATATATTTAAATTTTCAAAGACTACACTAGTTAGACTACATAACTTGAATCCTAATCAACTTTAAGTCTAATACTTTAGCCTTCGGATGCATGATGAGTTATTTGGTTTTGAATGTTACGGTTTCACATTTTAAACAAGTTAACATGTGAAAAATGCATTATGTGCTATGTTTAAATAATGTCATGAATGTGATTCATAAATTAGGAAATTGGCTTGCCAAATTGCTATTTGATTAACAAATTTATAGATACCATGAATGTAAATATTGGAATGTCATGAACCAACTCTCCCTAAGGTTGAAGTCGTAAAGTGAAGCCGCTTGAATAGTTATGTCTAACACACTCTTCAGTCAATAGTCCTTTGTACTGAAATTTCAAATAACATCTCACCGTGGACCCCATTGCAATATAAAGAAAGGAGAGGCGACCGAGGGGTAATTGATATTTTGAGTTGATCTTCTCTATCTCATATTTCCATTTTCTTAGGTTCCTTACTTCCCAATGTGAAATATGTATCATTAAAAAACGTGTAAATAATTTCATAATATATCATCTCAAAAGAATCAATAAATTAAAGGCAAACAGAAGAAGGTACATGACTACTATTTTTTATAAAGGCAGCTCAAGCGGTCATCACTAGAAAAAACCATTTAATTATATGTAAGCTAGTATCATACTTAGAGTTCAAATGATGTGAAACAGCAAAGCCAATCCAGTTCATGCGATGATTTGACTTGAGAGTCAGAAGTTGTTGCCTCGTCTCAACAAAACCAGCTAAATCTCGCATTTGAGCCTGTGGATGAGCAGTAAATAAAATCACATCACACGTAAGAAATAAGTACATCATAGAAGAATCCATTAAGTGTGTGGTTGTGCATTATGAAATGTGATGGTAAAATGTTATTGCAAAACATTTGTTAGCTCCAGACACCAGTATGTGATGAGAGAACCCTCCTATGGTGTGGCCCTTGCTTATGCATTCGAAGATTACAATGGGAAAAGGTTGGAGAAATATTTTTTATGTTCGCCTTTATGTGTAATAATCCAGCATAAGTTCAATGACAAGATAATTCTAGAAAAATTCTACATGAAACTTATCCCGAACTCAAGAGATGATACGACAGTAGCATTTATTTATGATTACCGACTTAAGTACCCACAAACGTCGCCAAGAGTCATAAACAAATTTAGATAGGAAATTGCAGTGCCATAAATCATGACAAGATAGGAACAGAGTTCACTAAAAAGTGTTTTCCATATTAAAGTGACCAACATCAACATGAAGAAATATGTTTATGTTAAGGAAACTTAGATATGAATTATGATGCTGTAAAAGAATACTCACACCCACGTTAACTTCGTTGTAGAGAAAGAGATGAGAATATTTATAAATTTACGACTGCTAAATAAACCAAATAAAAGCAAACTGATTTAATGCTCTACCTGTAAGAGAGATAGGTCGCGTAAGATTTCAATATTGTCAGGATCTATCCTTAGTGCATTTCGATAGCACTTGATTGCTTCCCTGTATTCTCTGTCCGACCGATAGAGAAGACCATAAACATGCCAGCAAACATGACTCTTAAGGTCATTCTGCAGCAGAGAAAAAATTAAGCTTGGAGCATCAAATAAAAATAATGTTGAAAGATTTGCAAAACCAAAATCAGCATACCTTCAATCCTTGGCGAACCAGTTCATATGCTTCAGATTTACGATCCATGCAATTTAATGTCAAACCCTTCATCGATAAAGTTTCTATCAACCAGAAGAAGGAACAGATACATAATAAGAAAAACACCCAAAGAAACATAATAATTAAGAGATGGAAAGAGAAGAACATATGTAAAAACAAAAACATATGTGTTTTGTGTTTCTCAAACATATAATAAGGAAATAAAACTATTCAAGATAAGGAAGTTAAAGCTTGCAATAGCAATTATCAATAAAGTATACCTCCATGATCTGGATATTTTTTCAAAATGGCATCGGCTGCTTTGAGACCCTTTTTGTATTGTTTGGTTTCATAGGATTTCTGCAGCAAAATAACAAAAAAATTGGAGCACGCATTTGCCAAACTTGACTACATATAATTATAAGCACGCATTTGCTTTCTTCTTTCTTACTAAGAAAACCAAAATCCAACATCGAACATGACTACTAGAAAACAGAGATAATCCTAGAGTTAAATCTGCTTATCTCAAAAACTAAACATATTCTTCAAATGAGACAGAGTAGTATCAAGTATCATTCAAAAGCTTCTCTGCCTCATTCAAAGCCAAGTAGCATCTTTGTTTCATTTCATTCCTTCTAATTTCAAATATATATATATATATATATATATATATATATATATATATATATATATATATATATATATATATATATATATATATATATATATATATATATATATATATATATATATATATATATATATATATATATATATATATATATATATATATATATATATATATATATATATAATCATTATCTTCATATATTCAATGGCAGAAGCAAATTATTAATTCAGTTAATCTACAAACACATTGATAAATGATAAATTGATAAATATTAGTTAAATAAAACTAGTTCATCCATAATCTCAGTGAAAACCTTCAAAGTCAAAGTAACACAAAACAGCACGAATTAACACTACCTATACCGATTCATTCAATTGCTTCTATTTGTATAAAGCATTTACAGTGAATTACGAGCAAGTAAAGCAAGTATAAGAAAGTGAACAAAATCTAGGGTTTATAAGAAAACGAATAAGGAAGCGTGAGAAAGTGAAAGAAGCTGGATCGAGCGAAGAAGAGAATGAAATGAAAGGTTTACCACAATGAGTTTGAAGAGGTTAGCCTCTTTGGGAGGAAGAGTAGCACCCATGGTTGTCGTAGCCGCAGGGTGAGTGGGTGAGTTGAGAAGAGCGAGTTGCGATAGAGAGCGAAACGAAAAACAAAGGGGTTTATGATTACGGTTAGGGTGAGAGTGATGGTGAATTGGAGATAGTGATTTTGAAGTGAATTGAGAATCTGGATGGCGTTTTTGTTGTGAAGTGAAGGCAGAGAGAGACACTGCAGCGTGCAACCCTACTACTCTTCTCAATAAGCACGAACCAAGGAATCTACGATACAACTAGTATTTCACTGCGTGGGTGCTTTTGTATTTTACCAAATATTACTAACATGAATTAAAAAAAGGTTAAAAAGTTACTACTCCATATATTTATTTGTCTTGCATCCATTTTATTAGTGATAATAATTATTTCAACGAATATAGATTATCACCCTTTTTGAAATACTAAGCGTTAATCATACAGAGATCACATATTCAATTGAAAAGGATAATAATATTACTTGAGTTCCAAATTTTATCTTCTAATTATATCTATTAATTAATAGACTTAATTAATTATTTTATCACTTTGTATCAATGTCAATTTGAATACATCTATGATTCATCATGATAATTTGGTAAAATTATTGTTCCTTTTTTATTTATTATATTTTTTTAATTTAAATCAAAGTGTTTGTGGCCAATCCATAACAGTTGTTCATAAGACTTATCGTGATGTGTCAAATAAGACATCTTACAAAATCAGTGTCAGACATAAAATGTCGAGTTAATTGCCTTAGGGATGTGGAAAAGTTTGGGGAATCAGTCGTAATATGAGTGGGGAAGAAGTGCACTAAATACATTTTTCATCATTGAGACATTTCGCAGGACTTTCAAACATGTGACTCTAGGTTTGTAGAATAAGGTGTGGCACCCCATTATATGGTGCTCAACTGCGCTCAAGCGCCATTGCGTTTTCCAAGGAAAAATTTAAGTGTTTCCTTTGGTCTCTCCATTTTCTTTTAATCCAGATTGTTTGTCAACTCATACATTTTCACTTATATAAAGATTGCTTGACTTTTTAGATGAACTTTCGCACTCATTACAAACTGAAATATATTTTGTCTTTTTGAAATTAACATTTCATCTCCCGAACTTCTTGTGACCTTTGATTACAGTGTTTTTTCCTCTGATGGAGTTGTGCGTCTTCTAACTAATCATCAACCTTTCAATCCCTTTGCTTGACATTGTTCATTTACCTCATCTTCCCTCCAGGTATCATTAATAGACTTTAATTATTCTTTCATTGTTTTCATTCCTTTATATATGCCATGGTCAATATAGATTATCAACATGCGGGTTTGGCAAGTAGCTCCAATGGTGGTGACTCTTCGTTATTTTTGTTGTGATAGAAAACCAAATAATCCAATACTACTTCCTTGGTGAATAATCACCTTGACCCGAATATAGTAGTTTTTGTTGATAGTTGAGTCTAACAATGTTTATGATTAATCATTTTTTGATAAAACCTTATTTGATGAGTTATATCGTTCTTTTATTGTAAGAGTGATGGGAAATCCATTAATGGTGAACAAACAAATAACATTACCTCTGTTTCTGATAACGCAAAATCATATTGTTTATTTGGCTTGATTTACATGCATTTATTTGTGACTATTGTTGATTTATCTTGATTTATATTCTATCATACGGTTAATTTACTTTGTTTTGCAGATTATGGAAATTTTGGATTAAAGAAATAATAGAAGAAGAAATGGAAGGAAAAGAAAGAAGAAAGAAAGAAATTGAGAAGAAAAACAAAAAGTACAGATTTTGTGCGTGTGACGCTCGTCACAGCTTCCTCACGCTCGTCGCGAGCATCACGGTCGTCACAAGACCATCACGGTCGTCACGTTCAACACGACCGTCACAAGACCATGACGACCGTCACGAACCAAGTATCAGAATAAAACAGAAGTCTGCACGACCCTCAACTAAATTTCTTCCTGCACTTTCTCCATTCACTGTCCACTACTGGAAGTTACTCTCACTCCTTCCATAACTCACTCATGATCTCTGGAAGTTGAGAAATGAAAGATCTCCTATAAATAGGCCTTAGATTCACAATTTTAGGGGGAGGCTTCGACGTATCGAAGTGCTGCCAAAATTTATACTGAAGCTATTTTATTTCTTTTATTTCCTTTTTGTTTTCCCTTTTGTTCAGAGCATTGTATTTCTGCAATTTTATTTCGCCAAAGTAGAATCCTGCCGACATTGTGGAGGACTACTCTTCAATTTTAGTACTACTTTCCAGGTTCTTATTAATTGAATTATTACTTTATTTTCTGTCATAATGTATGTTTTATCATTTTGTTGTTTATGTTTATTTCCGTTTGCATTAATTACCATGTCTAGCTAAACCGCATAAGTCGGTATGTAATAAATTAGTAGGAAAATTTGATAGTAACCGGTGCCATCCTTTTTACAAACACTTTTCTGGCTGTTAGTTTTTAATCTAATCTTTCTGAATAAACCTTCGTCGCGACAGCGAGAAATTATTTACAATAGTTTTGTCACGAAAGTGGGAAACTCATTAAGGCACGAACTGACACGCGAAAGCTGGGGTTCAAACCCGATAGTAAAAATTAGGCATTTATTTTAAACACAGCGAAAGCGCTTTAAAAGAAATCAGAATTTACTTATTTTCAAAGAGTAATTTAAACCCCGAATGGGACTGCGAGAGCATACATTCCGCCTTAGAATTATGACCCGAGTCAACAACCATCGTGAGGCAAAGGTCTTTAAAAGAGTATTTTCTCCTGAAAAGTGTTTGCACAAACTAAAAAGCACCGGTGATCTGTCGAATCCCCGATAACTAAGGCATTGCATACCGATATCCCATATCAATATATTTCTAAAACTAAAAATCTTTATTTCCTCTGTTTTTAATTTCATTCGCATTTAACTTTCCAAATTCCATTAGTCTTAGCTTTACGCCGTAACAATAGATAACGGTAGGTTGACATTGGTCTCTGTGGGTTCGATAATCTTTTATATTACTTCGATATTTCCGTGCACTTGCGGATGCATCAAGTTTTTGGCGCCGTTGCCGGGGACCAATAGTCAATATTGTGATTCTATTGTTGCATAGTATAGACTAAGACAGTCTTATCTCCATTACTATGTATAACCCAAATTTCCCTTATAACTACCACCCCCAATATTTTAACTACCACCCCCAGTATTTTGAGGAACCACAAGATCCGCTTAAATCTGACCTCGAAATATTATTAGAAGATTTCAATACGACGCACTCTCACCCAAATTCCCTCTACAATTACCACTCTCAATATTGTGAGGAACCGCAAGATTTCGACACATCCAACCTCGAACTATTACTAGAAGAATTCGACGCAGCGCTTACTCACTCCAGGATAGAATCTATGATGGAACGCTTTATGGAGACACAAACTCTCCAAAATGAAGATTTTAGAAAGCAACATCTCCAAATTAATGAAAATCTAAAGCAGATGAGCAATATGGTTGATTCCCTCGCAGCTCATGTAACACCCCATTTCTAACCCAACAGATAAACAACAAAATACAATCAGAGTGCACAAAATTTGGACGCGTGACGATCGTAAAGGTTCTGTGACGGTCGTCACACTACCAAAAACATGGGCGTCACATTTTCAACTTACAAAAACATACATTTCACAACTTAATTAGACAACATGCATTTAGTAATGATACATAGCACATAAGCTTGAATGAACATACAACATCTTGCTTAATATCTCGATTACAAGGCATCTTATTAATTTGCAGCGGAATATAAAACATTTCTAACATATATAATGATTAAAGCGAGACCACGAAACTTGCAGCAACTCCATTAAAATTCAGCAAGTAAAAGTCTTACATAGATTCAACGAAAATAACTAGTTCAACCATAGAAATCAGCACTACCGATTCACCGGCTTAGTGCGTACAACTAACATTTAGTACTCGACAATAACAACCAATTAAATTAAGAATATTCAGTAAAATTCAGCAACAAGAAAGTCAAATAAAACAGTGAAGTTCATCGTTCATCCCCCCAAGAGTGCTACGTATCAGAGCGACCGACGACACCTTAATGGAAAACTACACTCTATTCCTGATTACCTGCAAATTACCACCAACGGAGGTAATATACAACGTAAAGGGGTGAGATATCAACAACATAACATAAGACATGATAAAAGTCATGTCAGAATATTATCACATCATTATAATTCAGCAGTTCGCAAAATATTATCGACAATTAAACCGCAACAATTCGGTATTCATATCCATAACCAGTATCATTAAAATTCAGCAACTCATCAATTACTCGCAAATGCATAACGACACAACTCAACTATGCACTTCAACAAATGCGACTCAACTATGCAACTCAACTGTGCATATGCATGTGGTACCAATTTGGAGCCAACACTCCACAACCAATTTATTTGCCATTAAAGGCCAACTGTCGCCAATCCAGGCCAAATAACGCCAATACAGGCACAACCAAATATTTGCCACTAAGGGCCAACCGTCGCCAATCCAGGCCAAATGATATGCTATGAGACGCAACTATTATGGACTACAACGCAACAACAGCAATCGTGCAACAAGGTATCAAGCCTACAACCAATTATCCATAACAGAAACATCATTATTTCACATACATCATGTACTCACCATTTCAACACAATCAAATGAGAATACTATAACAACATTTTCTCAACAGATGACATCACAATTTCATATGCATCAGGTATTCATCATTTCAATCTATTCATGCAAGGGAACAATAACAACATCATTATCAACAAATAAGAATTCAAGACCTTTCTGCAGAAAGGCATCACAACCTCTACATACTTATTTATCTACAGTTTACGGTAAAACTCCATTAATTATGGAATGGCAATTCACGAGATATTACATAGACCAATGACCGCCCATACTATTTTGACACAGACAACCCTTTATCGTTAACATTTACCAACCTACAGAACCAA